TCTGGCGCTGTTCTCCTGGTTCTGCTGCTGCCGGTTCACTGCTGCTGCCAGTCCTCTGCTGCTGTTTCTCACCATCTGCACCTTCTCCAGTATTAACAGTTCACCTCACTTCCTTCTGAGTCTTCTGTCCACTCATAGTTTCAAAACCGCTTCCGCATTTTAGGTATCTGTTAGAGCAGCGCCCTGATCTCTTGGTAACAAATTCTGTCTTAGTCATCTAGTGCTGCTATAACAGAAATACCACAAGTGGATGGCTTTTAACAAAGAGAAATTTATTCTCTCACAGTCTAGCAGGCTACAGGTCCAAATTCAAGGCATCAGCTCCAGGGGAAGGCTTTATCTCTCTGTTGGCTCTGGAGGAAGGTCCTGTGATGCATCAGTCTTCCCTTGGCCTGGGAGCATCTCAGCTCAGAAACCTCAGCTCTGCTTTCTTGGTGGTATGAGGTCCCTCTTTCTGTTTGCTTCCCATTCCTTTTATCTCTTATAAGGTAAAAGGTGGCGCAGGCCACACCCCAGGGAATCTCCCTTTACCTGGGATCACGGATGTGACCTTAGTAAGGGTGTTACAATTCCACCCTAATCCTCTTTAACATAAAATTACAATCACAGAATGGAGGGTAACTGCACAATACTGGGAATCATGGCCTACCCAAATGTATGCACACATTTTTGGGGGGACATAATTCAATCCATGACAGAAGGAATACAAAGAGTCACTGTACCAAAAAGAACTGGTCAACATTCAATCATTTCAGGAGGTAGCATAGGATCAAGAACCAATGGTACTAAAGGAAGAAGTCCAAGCTGCACTGAAGACATTGTCAAAAAAACAAGGCTGCAGCCATTGATGGAATACCAATTGAGATGTTTCAACAAATGGATGCAGCGCTGGAAGTGCCCACTCATCTATGCCAGGAAATTTGGAAGACACCTACCTGGCCAACCAACCAAAAGAGAGCCATGTTGATGCCTATTCCCAAAAAGGGTGATGTAACCAAATGCAGAAACTATAGAACAATATCATCAATATCACACACAAGTAAAATTTTCCTTGAGATCATTCAAAAGCAGTTGCACAGTGCATCAACAAAGAACTGCCAGAAGTTCAAGCAAGATTCAGAAGAGGACGTATCAACGAGGGATATCATTGCTGATGCCTGATGGATCTTGGCTAAAAGCAAGATTCTAGATCTAAAAGATTCTAGAATACTAGAAAGATGTTTACGTGTGTTTTATTGACTATGCAAAGGCATTTGACTGTGTGGATCATAATAAATTATGGATAACATTGCGAAGAATGGGAATTCCAGAACACTTCATTGTGCTCATGAGAAATCCTGTACATAGATCAAGGGGCAGCTGTTCAAACAGAACAAGGGGATACTGTACGGTTTAAAGTCAGGAAAGGTGTATGTCAGGGTTAAAGACTGTTAAAGAAAAGATGAACTTCATGTCCTTTATGTAATCTCCCTAAAATAGTGTTTTTGCCAAGTGAATTTTTTATAAGTAATGAGAATCAGTTAACTCAAGATTGTACTCTCAAGCCAACAGCTAGAGAAGGAAATAAGATACATGTCATTAATCTTAAAGAATAATTTATCTTAATAGACATCATGTGCTAGGTGCTATGCTAGCTACTGGAGGAACAAAAATGAAAAGACTCAGTCGCTGCCCTTAAGACTGTAAAGGGTATAGAATAGCAACTGGCACACAGTAATATATGCTAATACATAGTCACCAAGCCCACTAAACCTTAGGAAACAAGGTAGCCTTGAAGAAGTGTTTTGTTTTGGTTTTTTTTTTAGTAGGCAAGAAATGCTGGTTTACAAAAAGACAATCCAATTAAAAAATGGGCAAAGGACATGAACAGACACTTTACCAAAAAAGACATTCAGGTGGCTAACAGACACATGAGGAAAATGCTCACTATCACTAGCCATTAGAGAAATGCAAATCGAAACTACAATGAGCTACCATCTCACCCCGACATTACTGGCATGAATAAAAAAAAAACAGAAAATAACAAACGTTGGAGACGCTGTGGGGAGGTCGGAACTCTTATGCACTGTTGGTGGGAATGTAAGATGGTACAACCATTTTGGAAAACGGTATGTCACTTTCTTAAAAAGTTAGAAACACGATCATTAGCCATTAGAGAAATGCAGATCTAAACTACAATGAGATATCATCTCACCCCAACAAGGCTAGCATTAATCCAAAAACCACAAAATAATAAATGCTGGAGAGGTTGTGGAGAGACTGGAACACTTATACACTGTTGGGGGAATGTAAAATGATACAACAACTTTGGAAATTGATTTGGCACTTCCTTAAAAAGCTAGAAATTGAAGTACCATATGATCCAGCTATCCCGCTCCTTGGAATATATCCTAGAGAAATAAGAGCCGTCACATGAATAGATATGTGCACACCCATGTTCACTGCAGCACTGTTCACAATAGCAAAAAGAGGGAAACAACCTAGGTGCCTATCAACAGACAAATGGATAAACAAATTATGGTATATCCACATAATGGAATACTATGCAACAATAAAGAACAACGATGAAGCCGTGAAACATCTTAGGGGAAGTCAGCACAACAGGACTATGCCAAAGCTAAGAAGTTTCCTGAATACAATCAAACACTTTGAGGGACAGAGTAGCAGGGGTAGGGGTCTGGGGACCATGCTTTCAGGGGACATCTAGGTCAACTGGAATAACAAAGCTTATTAAGAAAATGTTCTGCATCCTATTTTGGTGAATGGCGCCTGGGGTCTTAAAAGCTTCCAAGTGGCCATCTAAGATGCATCAATTGGTCCCAACCACCTGGAGTAAAGGAGAATGAAGAACACCAAAGACACAATGAAAGTAGTAGCACAAGAGACAGAAAGGGCCACATAAACCAGAGACCCATCAGCCTGAGACCAGAAGAACTAGATGCTGCCCAGCTACCAACAATGACCACCCTGACAGGGAACACAACAGAGAATCCCAGATGGAACAGGAGAAAGGTAGGGTGCAGAACTCAAATTCTAATAAGAAGACCAGACTCAATGGTCTGACTGAGACTGGAGGAACCCCAGAATGCACGGCCCCTGGATTCTCTATCATCCCAGAACTAAAACAATTTCTGAGGCCAACTCTTCAGACAGGGATTGGACTGGACTGTGGGACATAAAGTGATACTCGTGAGGAATGTGCCTTTTAGCTCAAGTAGATACAAGAGAATAAACGGGCAGCTTCTGTCCGGAAGTGAGATGGGAAGGCAGAGAGGGTTAGGAGCTGGTTGAATGGACATGGCAAATCAGGAGTGGAAAGGAGGAATGTACTGTCACGGTATAGGGAGAGCAATTAGGGTCACATAACAATGTATGTATAAATTTTGTATGGGAAACTAATTTGAAATGTAAACTTCATTTAAACTACGACAATAAAAAAATAAAAACAAACAAAAAAGCTAGAAATATAAACACCATATGATCCAGCAATCCCAGTCCTAGGAATATATCTTAGAGAAATAAGAGCTGTCACATGAATAGACGTATGCACACCAATGTTCACTGCAGCATTATTCACAACAGCACAAAGATGGAAACAACCTAAGTGTCCATCAACAGATAAATGGATAAACAAACCATGGTACATATACACAATGGAATATTTCACAACGATAAAGGACAATGATGAATCTCTGAAACATCTCACAACATGGATGAATCTGGAGGGCATTATGCTGAGTGAAATAAGTCAATCACAAAAGGACAAATATTGTATGAGACACTATTACAAAAACTCATGAAAAGTTTTACATACAGAAAGAAGCAGTCTTTGATGTTACGACGGAGAGGAGGAGCGGGGAGGGGAAAACACTAACTAGACAATAAATAAGTGGTAGCTTTGGTGAAGGGTAAAACAGTACACAATTCTGGGGAAGTCAGCACAAGTTGACCAAGACAAAGTCACAGAAGCTTCATAGATACATCCAGACTCCCTGAGGGACCAAATTACTGGGCTGACGGCTGGACCACGGTCTTGGGGGACATCTAGCTCAATTGGCATAACATAGTTTATAAAGAAAATGCTCTATATCTTACTTTGGTGAGTAGTGTCTGGGGTCTTAAATGTTTGTGAGTGGCCATCAAAGCTATTCCATTGGTCCCACCCCATCTGGAACAAGGGAGAATAAAGAAGACCAAAGACAGAAGGGAAAGATTAATCCAAAAGACTAATGGACCACAACTAACGGAGCCTCTACCAGACTGAGTCCAGCACAACTAGATGGTGCCCAGCTAACAACACCGACTGCTCTAACAAGCACCACAATAGAGGGCCCCAGACAGAGCTGGAGAAAAATGTAGAACAAAATTCAAACTCACCAAAAAAAAAAAAAAAGACCAGACTTACTTGGTCTGACAGAGATTGGAGAAACTCTGAGACTATGGCCCCCAGATACCCTTTTAACTCAGTACTGAAGTCACTCCGGAGATTCACCCTTCAGCCAAAGATTAGTCAGGCCCATAAAACAAATAATAATACAGGTAGCTCAACCATGTATATGAGACTAAATGAGAACACCAGCCTCGGGGCAATGATGAGAAGGCAGAAGGTGACAGGAAAGCTGGTAATGGGGAACCCAAGGTCGAGAAGGGGAGAGTGTTGACACATTGCAGGGTAGGCAACCAATGTCACAAAACAATATGTGTTTATTAATTGTTTAATGAGAAACTAATTTGCTCTGTAAACCTTCATCTAAAGCACACACACACACAAAAAGAAAGAAATGTTGGTTTATTGCCCACATCTTTCACTTGCTTTAATGAACTACGGCAATATGCAGATTATAATGTCAATTTTGGATCGACAAAATACACATCCCTTTGAAATTTGTATGATTACAGATAAGCAGCCAGAATAAAACAGCTCTAGCCTATTCTCTAGTATGTTACTTCCATTCCAAATTTATAGCCTAAATTTTATAATAGATATTGAAACATCCTACCTCTAGAAACCCCTTCTGATTAGGATCCATATGGTTCAGAGGGATATAGGTGTCATCAGTCTTCTGGCAAACAATCATTGCATGCCTTTGACTAAAAGTTCCACGGCCAACATCTTGGCCACTCAGGCGGACATTAAAACCTTATGGAAGGAAGTGGGGGAAAAAATCCAGATTGCCATGAATAATCTAAGTAATAACAAGATATACAAACCAGAAAACCAAACCTGTTGCCATCGAGTCGATCCTGACTCATAGCAAACCCTACAGGAGAGAGTAGAACTGCCCCATGGGGTTTCCAAGGAGTAGCTGGTGGATTCGAACTGCCAACCTTTTGGTCAGCAGCCGAGCTCTTAAAATAAGGCATAGTGACCCTGAATTCTTATACGTTAGTTCATCCTGAGGACTTTCCTTAGGATAATAGATTATCCCTATTAAGATATACCTGTCCTATATTCAGAAGCCTGTAGTAAAAGTGAGGTTATATAAGGATGGAGAGTTATCACTTGCCCTATAATTTTCAGAGAAAATTATCTTTCCAATATGACCAACACGAGCCCTTTGTTTTTCAGGTATAACTGATCTATATTCTCTGATAAAGGTTGTCAACATGACTTATACTATGACTAGGTAAAATTGTCAGGAAAGAAAAGTTAACACATTTTAGAACCTGTCTAGTCAATGAAAGCAATAAAGGTAGTTACAACTCAAAAAACCACAGAGGTCACATACAACAGATGTGATATGAAGCATTCCCTACCAGTTAAGCAGCTAAACAGAAACTTCTTACCTTGAGCAAGTAATGAGCCCAAGGAAAGAGCTTCCGCTGTGGCCCAGTCTAACTTTGTTCCATCCATCACTTTCTCCATTCTGGACTATAAAATTGTGGCCAAGGGAAAAAGAAACTTTTAAGAGCCCACATCCTTTTTCATACTGAGTTCAAAAAATTTAATACGACAAAGGTAAGTATCAAAAACATAATGTTGAATTAAAAAAGCAAGTGCAGAAAGATACATTAGGGTATGATAACAATTATATAAACTTTAAAAGCAGGCAAAACAAACATGAACTTCAGGTTATTGGTCGGTTACCTCTGCAGATGTATGAGAGGAGATGTAATCAGGGAGGGAAACATGGGGAACTGTATTTGTAATATTCTATTTCTTAAGTTGGATGGCAAGTATAATAAAGAGTTTGTTGTAATAGTCTCTACCTATAATAAAAACTTAAAAATGAAGTTAGTGCCTTAAAATAAGTCAGAGGACAAAGTTTCTTTATTCAAGTTCAAGAAAAATGAAGGCATTTAATTTGGGGTGACCAATTGTCCCAGTTTGCTCAGGACTCTCCTGGTTTCAGCACTGAAAGTCATCCATTCAGAGAAACCTCTAAGTTCCAGACAAACCAAGATGTTTGGTCACCCTATATTTAACATGAGACAATACATGTAACCTTAATATATTTAAGAGTCCAAATGGTTGCCATTAGGGTATGTGTGTGGATTTTTATTTAAGTCACCCAGAAGAATTATATTCTACTCGCTGCTCAGAAAAATCAAAACAGACATTTCTGTACTACTGCATTTTTTACAATGTACATATATTAAATGTGTATCATTTAAGAAAGACAGAGAGTGGAAGGAAGGGAAGGAAAAAGAAAGAAAGGAAGGAAGGAAGCAAAGAGGGAAGGAAGGAAGGAAAGAGGAAGGAGAGAAGAAAGAGGACAAAATCTGATCTAATTGACTGTCAATACCAAAAACACTAGGATCAGTTTGTAGAACCTAGTGACACACAATAAGTATCTGTCAAATGAATTAGCCAACCAAAACGACCAGACCAGCATCAAGCCCTCTGCTGAGCAAGAAGACAAAACAACAGCCAGAGATTTCAATGCTCCCTGGAAAGTACCTACCTGAGCATACATCTTTAGAAGGTGACTATGCATCTGGAGTTCCTCTGGTACCTCCACAGACTTTGCACCAATAAACCGCAGGAGGTCTATGGGCACACCTGTGCTCCAGGTAGTAATGCAAGCTTCCGGCTGGACCAGGCCCTGCCAGTGGGCCTGCAGGTTAGTGGCAGGAGGGCTATAGTGGGCCGTGTTAGTTAAATGGTCATTTAACTTTGCATAGTAGGAAGCTTTTATTTCAGACACCTCTTCCTGGGTCATGAGGCCAGTGGCAATAAGATGTTCTGCATATGTGTCTGGGATGGTTTTTCGGGCTCTGTCCAAGAAAGAGGAAAAAAAAATCAATCTTACCTGTACAAACCTAGGAGAGAAAGATATAGTCATTGTTAAAGCTGTTGCAGAGCATCATTGCTACAAAAAGGCACTCACCAGGGTAGGAAATAACTTCTTCCAGGCAAGCAACAGAGAAAGCAAAATTGTCTTTATAAGCTTTCGCACACATTCAGGTAGAAATAATTAGGAGGAGAATTTTTCTGTGGATTGGGAACATTATTTACAAGACTGAGCAACACTGTCTACCTACTCAGCACCCCTTCATTTAAAAAAGCATTGAACCCAAAGTTACTGACATCTGTTTCTAGTTGCGTTAAGAATCCTGTAGCTATAATAATCATCACCTGGATTTTGCAACAGCAACAATAATAATGTCACTCTACATTTGTATAATACTTTAAACTATAAAGTCTGTTCACATATATTATTCTATTTAATCCTCACAAAAGTGAGAGGTAGGCAGGATAGATTTTCAAAAACGGGGCAGTGAGGCTCATCAAGTCATTCAGCTGGTAAGTTCAGAGCTAAACAGATTTGTTCTTCTTGGAGCAGTGCTCTTTCTGCTACTCATGATCAGAGAGGCTCGTAAAATGTCAAGTTTATTCCTCTGCTTTACTTTATATCTATGAAGAAATAAAGTGGGGAGGGAGACCTATTTTACTTTCTAGTATCTTAAGAAGAAATTTCCAAAAATAGCACATTCCCTCTCTGTCAGGTTAACCTTCTGAATCAGCACTGTCTGATAGAAGTGTAATGCAAATCACTTATGTAATTTTAAATTTTCTGGTAGTCACCTTAGAAAAGGTAAAAAGAAACAGGTGAAATTAATTTAGTAGTATATTTTTGAATATTGTTATTTTAAAATTTTAACCAAATATTGTCGTTTTAATATCTAATCAATATAAAAATCATTTATGAAGTATTTTACATTCATTTTTTCAGACTGTATCTGAAATCTGGTGTATATCTTATACCACATCTCAATTAGGACTAGATACAGTTCCGTGCTCAAAAGTCACATCTGGTTCATGGCTACTGTACTGGACAGTGCAGTATTAACATTCATTAAAAATCCTCATGTTACCTCTCTCCAAGGCACAAAGTAGTTCCACATGGAAGGTTTGGAGACATGAACCATGGAGGCTCTATTTCCAATCCTATCAACTGCACACTAAGTAGCTTTGGCAAGGCTCTGCTAAGTCCTTGTACTTTAATCTTCCCTGGGTCTGCTAAGTGAAGCTATTAAGTTACCCTTTCTCTATTTAATGAAGAAGCATGTAGAGTTTAAAGAATATGGAGAACTCTCCTGATACCCATATGGTGATCAACCATCCCACTTTGCCCAGACTGTCTTAGTTTTAGCACTGAATGTTTCATGTCCCAATAAACCCTTCAGTCCCAGGCAAACAGCTGCTCACTCTACTGGAGACCATCTAATGAAAATAAAAATAGCAAGCACTACGAGTGGGTGGGTAGGGAACATGAAAGGAAGATTTATAATTGTACCTGATGATTTTGTACATGACTGGGTTGGTAAAAAAAGGTTCATCGAGCTCATTGTGGCCCCACTGCCTGTAGCATAACAAATCAATAATCACATCCTTGCGGAACTGGCGCTGGTATTCAAAAGCTAGTCGTGTGGCACGGACCACTTCCTCTGGGCTGTCTCCATTGACATGGATGATGGCACAGCCTACAAGCTTCCCTGAGGTAGAGAAGACCAAGATGAAGAAGGCCAGGTAACTAGGAACAACATTAGTCCACCTCCAAGTCCTGTTGCCTGCATGGGAAGGACAGCCCACATCCTTGGAGGTAGTTTGGCTTGGTTGTTAAGAACCTGAAATTTGGGAGGTAGGGCCAAGATGGTGGAGTAGTCAGACACTTCCTGTGGTCCCTCTTACAACAAAGACCCAAAAAAAAAACAAGTAAACCGATCATATATGACAATCTAGGGGCCCTGAACATTAAAGGCAAAGTTAAGGAATAGCACTGAGTACAGGGGGTGGGAGACATGCTTCGGAAGCAGCAAGGAGTTGCCAGACGTAAGCCAGCGGGAACTGGCACTTTGTAGGCTGGATCGGCTGGTGAATGGGTGAGGCAAGCAGTGGTACTCGGGACACGTTTTCCACATCAGGAGAGACCAAGCAGCGGAGAGTCTACTCAAGCCTCCAGAACCAGTGAAAAGCGGCACTCAGTCGGCAAAAGATAAGTACATGTGTCTAACCCACTGGGCAGATCAAAAAATATGCCGTTTGGGAAGAACCTCCCTCCTATCTACCAGTCTCCTCCTCACTCTGCACTGGTTCCTGGGCCAGCTTCAGCAATTGATGCACCCCATGGGCCGGAAGTAGGACCCGTTACGCGCACTGAGCCATTCTCCCAGCCTTGGAGAGGGAATAAATTAACAAACGGAAAAAATAATCTGCCCGCTCCCCTAAGCCAGGAACTCAGGGCAGGCACAGCTCCTTTCCCTAGGCACAGGCATAAGGGGTCCATGGACTTGGAATGCCTTTCACCCCTGCGTAGACCTGTGTGGGCCCATTTCAACAGCATAGGCCCTCATTAGCACAATACAACAGGTTATATACCTGAAGCCTAACTTCAACTCTGTCAGCTATATGGTGGAATGGCAGGTTACTGATTCGATGGCAGCTGGTTTGGTTTGGTTTTTTGGTTTTATATATGTATACATACATATGTATATACGCAATATAGTATGTTGTTGTTGTTTTCAGGTGCCGTCGAGTTGGTTCTGACTCATAGCGACCGTATAAGACAGAGTAGAACTGCCCCGTAGGGTTTCCAAAGAGTGGCTGGTGGATTCGAACTGCCGACCTTTTGGTTAGCTGCCGAGCTCTTAACCACTACACCACCAGGGCTCCAATATAGTACAGATTACTATTATTTTACCTCCTAAAATAAAAGAGTTATGAAAGATGCATCCTAGAAATAGATGGGTTTTCTCCAAAGAGAAGGTCTAGAACGGATCTTGAGTATCTCTACCAGACTGATCACAAAGACTTCATATAGACATTCCCAAAAGGCACCTGGATAATAAAAGCCCTACCTTTGCACAAGTTAAAACAAGTTGACTTTGATTCTTCACACTTTCCAACCAAACTACTTACTCAAATTTAGCAGCTGAACATATACTTTTTGACTAAGATCCTGGGTACTTCAAGTTTAAATATTATAAAGACGATCTACTGTTGAACTAATTGTGTTGATCTCCGGTTCCTACCAGATTATTCAACTGGTTGCTTAGTCAAATTGAGATTGCACCCTCTAAATTCCATTCTTTTCTTATTTCCTTGGATTTAAAGATCACAATCAGACTTTAAAAGGAATATTAACTTGGCCACACTGAGATGGCCAATGAGGCACACTGCTCTGAGTGAATTAGAAGTTTCTCTAGGAATTCCTTGTCTGATTCCACAACATCAACTGCTCCTTGTGTTACATACCGATATCACTACAGTATAGGGATGACCTTCCTCTCTCTGCTGGAGTGGTGTAACCCAGCTGGTTATTGACAATCAAATGGACACTCCCACCAATTCTGAAATGTGGAAGGTTGGAGAGTGTAAAAGTTTCCGGAACAATCCCTTGACCACAGAAGGAAGCATCACCATGAACCTAAATTATGGGAAAAAAGAAGGAACAAAAGGATTAAAAAATTTAGGTTTTCTGACTGGAATAAATTGTTTTAAAATACTAAAAGGAATAAAAACAACCACCCTCTTACTACTCCCCTGTCTAAATTTTGCTAGTTATGGGATCTTCTAGAATACTTAGGCTGATCTCAAAAGCATCTTTCAAAGATGCTAAATCAGTCCTTTTGCTCTTACAGGTACCATCGGTTGATCCATTTCTTCTACCCTCTATCATCACCTGTCCTTATCACTTAAGCAAACATTCTAGTATATATAGCAGCACCATAGAAGGAGGGGCTGTGGTAGGTACAGAGAAAAAAATCAGCTCTGGTAACGTCTTCATGAAAACAGCCTGCAAGACACAAAGAAATAGTGCAGTGCACAAACCTTGAAACTCTATCTTCTGCCCCAATCATCTTGCCCTTCCTGAAAAGAGACCGCATGTGGCTCACATCATCTAATCCTCACTCTGTTAGGTGAACACCAAGGAGAGTGATATGACAGCAAAGACACGGTGGTGTGGGAGATAAATATATCACATGTAAGTAAAGGCGGGCTTGAGGAAAAATAAAGAATTAATGATCATGACAGAATGTTTATAATGTGTCCAGGACATTCGAAGTCGGCTAGATCATAATATCATTACAAAACCTGGTAGGCAGAAGGTGTTAGAGGACGGAAGGAAGAAGAAGAAGAAGAAAGAAAGCAAATAATGAGAGAACTGTAGATTGTAGAAGAAAATATGAGCTATACTGATTTCATGCCAAAAGGTTATTATCATAAACCGCCAAAATGCTGAACTAAAGAATAGAAAGATGTGACGTACCCTAACTTAAAAAAGGCAACCATTGTGACTGTAATAAAGAAGCAAAAGACTGAAATATGAATGAAGAATGAATACTTGGAAGCAGATTGTTAAAATGCCATTGAATATGTCCTTAAAAGAAGTTAACGTCATTTTTAAAAAGTAGAATATTTTGGCTAATAAAAGAAAGCACTCCTTTCACTAAGAAAAATTTCTAGCCCACACCTTTCCCTATTGCTAGGGTCTGGTGATGTAGTGGTTAAAGTGCTCAACTGCTAACTGAAAGGCCGATAGTTCAAACCCACCAGCTGCTCAGCAGGAGAAAGATGTGGCAGTCTGCTTCTGTAAAGATTTATAGCCTTGGAAACCCGATGAGGCAGTTCTGTCCTATAGGATCACTATGAGTCAGAATCAACTCTACGGCAAAGGGAAAAGATACGACAGAAGACCCTGGGTGGTGCAAACGGTTAACACACTTGACTGCTAACTGACAGGCTAGAAGATCAAGTACATCCAGAGGTGTCTCAGAAGAAAGTCCTGGTGATCTATTTCCAAAAAAATCAGCCATTAAAAATCCTATGGAAAATAGTTCTACTCTGACACACATGGGGTCACCATGAGTCAGAATCAACTTGATGACAACTGGTTTTATAGGTATGACTGACATTTTGGAGTATCTACACCTCATAATAACATACACTTACATATATATGGTGCTCTGTTGTTTACACAGCACTATACATTATCTCCATTAAGCCACTCAACAACCTGGTAAGGTAGCCAGATAAGTCACTACTGTCCCTTTTACAGATAAGGAAACAAAGGTTCAGAAAGATTATATATTTTGCATGGCTTGGACTAGATGCCGGATATTTTGATGCCTCAGTTAACTGCTTTTTCTACTTAACTACCATATTTCCCAACTCTTTCAAGCATTTGATGCCCTTCTTCTGGGTCAAGCACCTTGTATACATGTTCTCATTTAATCCTCAGACACTGAGGAATGGACTTTATCGCCATTTTACCTATGAGGCTCAGAGAACCTAAGTAACAGAGCCAACCTCACTGACGTAGAAAGCAGCAGAGGCAGGTCTGCTTGCCTCCAGAATCTACGTTCTTTCTATACTATGCTACACTGAAAAGTTCAACACTCAGATCTCACAGGGCCAAGGGGTTCCTGACAGCTGAACCCTTTGGTTTTCTTGCTATGAGATTTCTTTTGGGGAATGGTGTTAAAAAAAAAAAGGAGTCCTGGTGGTGCAATGGTTAAGCACTTGGCTGCTAACTGAAAGGTCTGTGATTCGAACGCACCAGCAGCTCTGCAGGAGAAAAGACCTGGCCATCTGCTCCTGTAAAGATTACAGCCTAAAAAACCCAATGGGGCATTTCTACTCTGTCCTATAGGGTCACTATGAGTTGGAATCAACTTGATGGCACGCAACAACAAAAATAAAAATGATGTAAAAGGAGATCAGTAAAGCAACGAAGAGAACATTTGCCTCTTCTGTTCCTTTTAAAAAATGTTATAGTAGAGGCATTGCTTGTTTTATCTGATAAGGACATGACATCTGTTCACAACTTGCCTCATATTTTCATGGTCTTAAGATTCTTGGCATTAAAACATGCATGTGTTTGTCATCTGCTCATTTTATTTTCCTTCTTAGATCAAAAGAGAAACCACTACACTATGCCCTATAAAGCTTTGTGGGAGTAAGGGGCCATACACACAAACACGTACTGAGTCAGCCAAACACAGGTGGGGGACTGTGACACACACAGAAGATCACAATTGAGAATTCACTTTTACCAGGTCCAGGACCAAGATAAGTAGATGACAGGCAGAAAAAGTAATATCAGAAATTTCACCAACCATGATTTTATAGGTTCCGCATTTAGAGTTCCCACAAGAAAGCAGAACTGTGTTTGGGAACAAAAAGGAAGACATGTACAGACATACCCACTGCCATTGCTGTTGAGTCAATTCCAACTCATAGTAACCCTATAGTAGGGCGAAATATACTTAGAACACAAAGTAGACAAAGGACGGCAATCAGTTTTCATTGCTTTAAAAGAAAATGCCATTTTTATCTCTGACTTCAGAAGTCGATATTGAGACCTGCTTCACGTATTGGGTAAATACAAAATGACTAAAAAATTTCAGATTATCATGAAGTAAGTCAAGTGAGAGGTAAAGAGAATGTCTGGTTAATGATTTGAAGATTTCTGTTTTGAAATACTATATCACAATCAAATCCGATAATGCCTATGCCCAATTTATTCACTACAAGTTTCTGGCCCATGAATAATTAACATGAATAGGATAATGTGATTATCTATATACTTAGCAGAATATTCTATTGCCTTAAAGATTTATCTGTTTCTATTGGGTGTGAAGACCCAGTCACTAATATTCAGGATGAATGTTAAGGACTGAATTGTGTCCCCCCAAAATATCTGTCAACTTGGCTAGGCCATGATTCCCAGTATTGTGTGATTGTCCACCATTTTGTCATCTGATGTGATTTTCCTATGTGTTGTAAATCCTATCTCTATGATGTTAATGAGATGGGATTAGCGGCAATTATGGTCAATGAGGCAGGACTCAATCTAAAAGATTAGGTTGTGTCTTAAGCCAACCTCTTTTGAGATATAAATGAGAGAAGCGAGCAGAGAGACAAGGGGACTTCATACCACCAAGAAACAAGAGCTAGGAGCAGAGCGAATCCTTTGGACCCAGGGTCCCTGTGCTGAGAAGCTCCTTGACCAGGGAAGATTGATGACAAGGATCTTCCCCCAGAGCCAAAAGAGAGAAAGCCTCCCCCTGGAACTGGTACCCCGAATTTGGACTTCTAGCCTCCTAGACTGTAAGAGAACAAATATCGTTTGTTAAAGCCATCCACTTGTGGTACTTCTGTCATAGCAGCACTCAATGACTAAGACAATGAATTATTCCCCAGTTGTGAAAGGTTTATACTTAACTGAATACTCAAAGAAGAGAACGTGACCCACAAGCCAAACCTCTGAAAGATGTTTGTTGAGTTACCAGAAATTGAAGGTTGAGGGCAGGAGCCACATAATTATTTTTATTGCTTGCCTTAATGTCAAAAACCTTCATTTTAAAACTAACTAACGAACTAAATCTACAGTTGGTGGCCTTGTTAAATATATGGATACCTTTTAAAACAAACAAACAGACAATCTACAGTTGGTGGCCTTGTTAAATATATGGATACCATGCAGTTTTCTAGTGGGGCATATGTGTTGTAAATCATATCTACAATGACATCTGTCCTTCAATACCCCCATAATTAATTCATAACTCTAGAAAGGAAAAAGACAGTGAAAACCCCAGTCTGAAATCAGCTGTCTTGAAACTAGACCTCATAACCCCATAGGACAGAGTAGAACTGCCCCATAGTGTTTCCAAGGAGCAGCTGATGGACTGAACTGCCGACCTTTTGGTTAGCAGCCGTAGCTCTTAACCCCTGTGCCACCAGAGCTCCTCATATCCATTGATTTTTAAGACAACCCCAGAATCTCCTTTTCCAAATGTTCATCTTCGTTTCATCTTGAATATCTGCAATCTCTTTTCAGACCTACTAACCTTGACATTCTTTCTTCCTGGTTTTCCCAACCTCTGGCCTCACTCTCTGCAGCTACAAGTACCTGTAAACAAATGACTTTGTCCCCAGGCTGAGCTGAACTGTCTGGAGAGTAGTCCCCATCCTGTCGAGACTGCTGCCTTCCGCGAGTTTTCCCGACAGCCACAGGGTTAACAGCTTCGAGGTGTGAGGGGTTAGGTAGCATTATCACATGGAGCGGACGGTATGCACCAAAGTCCAGGTCAACAGAGGAGGTCAGGTGAGACAGGACATCTCCAACAGCTGAGAAATTTTCTGGAAATTCACTTAAGCCTCGCATTTTACGGAACATCAGCTATTATGAATAGATATAAAAGAAAGGAATATTTTATTACACTAAAGACTTGGGAAGAGGTGGTTAGTTTAAATCGTACAATAAAAATCACACAAACGCTTTTACAACTATTATTACCAGTTGCTGTCAAATCTATTTGAACTCAAGGTAACCCCATGTGTGTGTAAGTAGAACTGCTCTATAGGGTTTTTGAAGGCTGATTTTTTGGAAGTAGATCATCAGGCTTTTCTTCCGAGGTGCCTCTGGGTGGACGTGAACCTCCAACCTATCAGTTAACAGCCAAATGTGTTAACCATTTGCACCACTCAGAAACTCCTTATAACTGTGCTTATCTTTAAATAATGCATGTTATATGGTGTTAAAAAAAAAAAAAAAAAAGGAGCCCTGGTGGTGCTTATTTAAAGATAAGCATACTGCATGTTACAAGCATGTGTTATTTAAAGATAAGCACAAACTTCTCACTAATCAATTGCATAGAATATTTGGAGATCTTCAGAATGAAATGAAGTACCAATATATTAAGAGAGATGTAACATGGTACAAATATTAAGTTACTTCTGACTTGCAATAAGCAAAATAAGAACTTTGTATTAATCTCTTTAAAGTCAGAGAGGAAAATAGTGGAACAGAACTTAATATTTAATCCCATTTGGACAGGTGGTGAAGTATACTGCTTAGCTCAAGTCAGATATAACTATACTGTCCGATTCTCAAAAGACTTCTCTATATTCATTCTCTCACTTTATTTTCACAATCTTCTATGAGGTAGGTGTTTTACCTCATTTTACAAGCAGACAAACAAGAGAAGCACATTGTTAAAGGTCCTTGGCTGGTAAGTAACAAACAGTGTCAAACAAAAATATTTACCAAAAATGGTATTTTTTTTTCTAAATTATCCAAATTAATTGAATGACCCAACAGTTTCTTATTGACCTATCTGCAAATAGGAACATACATAGTTACATAGTGTGAGTCCATATGTGTCTCTCACAAATATAATAATTTACAATAATTTCTGCATCTTTGCTTAGTTTTTTGCCTGGAATATTTTTATAAAGAAAATTTTGGTTTAAGAATTTCTGCATATATTTCAGCACATACCTCCACCTGTCAATTTTTTTATTCTGCCATATTCTACCTTTTCTAAGGCATTTGTCTTTTAAAAGCTGATTATCAACTTCTTAACGAAGTCCCTTGGAGCCCTCCCTAGTGGCACAGTGGTTAAGAGCTCAACTGCTAACCAAAAGATCAGCAGTTAAAACCAACCAGCTACTCCCTGGAAACCCTAGGGGCAGTTCTACTCTGTCCTATAGGGTCGCTATGAGTTGGAATCAACTCAAAGGCAATGGGTTTGGTTTGTTTTGGTTTGGGTGGTGCAACTGGTAAATGTGCTTGGTTGCTAACCAAAAGGTTGGAGGTTTGAGTCTACCCAGAGGCAACTTGGAAGAAAGGCCTGGTGTTCTACTTCCAAAAAATTAGCCACTAAAAACCTTATGGAGCACAGTTCTACTCTGACACACATGGGTCACCATGAGTTGGAACTGACTCAATATCAACCTTTTTTTTTTTTATTAGCACCAGAAAAGTTGAAGTATGAGTAGTAGTGGCAGATTTTGGCCCTTAGACATGATGTTACATATAATTTCTAATGGTCTTAGGGTTAACACATCCTTCTATAGGACTTGTTCACTCTAACTTTGACAGGCCCTTTAACATTTATAATCATTTTTAATCTCCTGCCCTAGAACATTAGTGAGGTTAACCCACGCATAATGGTCATAACTAAATGTCAAATCTCTCTGATGTTCCCTGGTATAAAATCTTCATTCCTGAATATAAGTCTTTTGAGGCACTTACAAAGCAGCTGAGTTGAACTGAATGGAATACCAAGATTCAATTACTTATAAAAGCATTCACTTGGGTGGTCTCTTGAGAGAACAATGTCTTACTAGTTTTAGTATACTGCTTAACTATAAACTCTGCAAATAAATGGACGTATGACTTCTTAATGGTAAAATTGCATATATCTTTGTGTTCATTTCAACAATTTTTATTAAATAAGAAAATGTAAAGAATCAACAAAACCAAAAGTTGGTTCTTTGAAAGGATCAACAAATTCAACAAACCACTGGCCAAACTGACAAAAGAAAAGCAGGAGAGGATGAAAATAATCCAAATAAGAAATGAAATGAGGGACATTACAACAGACCCAACTGAAATTAAAAGAATCATAACAGAGTACTATGAAAAACTATACTTCAACAAATTTGGGAAAACCTACAGGAAATGGACAAATTTCTAGAAACACACTACTACCCAAACTAAAACACAACTTGAAGTTGGAAATCTGAACAGACCCATAACAAGAAAAGAGATTGAAAAGGTAATAAAAAAAACTCCCAACCAAAAAAAGCCCTGGCCCTGACGGAGACTGGAGAAACTCCAAGAGTATGGCCCCCGGACACCCTTCTAACTCAGTAATGAAGTCACTCCCGAGGTTCACCACTCAGCCAAAGATTAGACAGCCCCATAAAACAAAATGAGACTAATGGGGCACAACAGTCTAGGGACAAGGACTAGAAGGCAGGAGGGGACAGGAAAGCTGGTAATAGGGAACCCAAGGTTGAGAAGCGACAGTGTTGACATGTCTTGGGGTTGTTCACCACTGTCATAAAACAATATGTGTACTAACTCTTTAATGAGAAACTATCTATTCTGTAAACCTGCATCTAAAGTACAATAAAAAAAAATTTAAACATTAAAAAAAAAAGCCCTGGCCCAGATGGCTTCACTGGAGAATTCAACCAAACATTCAGAGAAGACATTATATCAGTACTACTCAAACTATTTCAGAACATAGAAATGGAAGGGATACTTCTGAATTCATCCTATGAAGCCAGCATAACCGTGATACCAAAACCAGGCAAAGATATCCCAAAAAAAGAAAATTACAGACCAATAGCTCTCATGAATATAGATGTGAAAATTCTCAGCAAAATTTTAGCCAGTAGAATTTGGCATCATATCAAAAAAATAATACACCACGACCAAGTGGGATTCATACCAGATATGCAAGGATAGTTCAACATTAGAAAACCAATCAATGTAATCCACCACATAAATAAAATAAAAGAATCACATGATCATTTCAATCAACACAGAAAAGGCATTTGACAAAGTCCAACACCCATTCCTGATAAAAAACTCTCAACAAAATAGGTATAGAGGGGAAATTCCTCAACATAATAAAGGGCATCTATACAAAACCAACAGCCAACATCATTCTTAATGGAGAGAGGCTGAAAACATTCCCCCTGAGAACAGGAACAAGACAAGGATGCCCTTTATCACCACTCCTATTTAACATTGTGCTGGAAGTTCTAGCTAGAGCAGTAAGGCAAGAAAAAGAAATAAAGGGCATCCAAATTGGTAATGAAGAAATTAAACTGTCCCTGTTTGCAGATGATATGATACTATACATAGAAAACACAAAAGATTCCACAAGAAAACTACTGGAACTAATAGAAAGATTCAGCAGAGTAGCAGGATATAAGATAAACATACAAAAATCAGCTGGATTCCTATACACCAATAAAGAGAACTATGAAAACGAAATCAGGAAAACAATATTATTTATAATAGCCTCTAAAAAAATAAAGTACTTGGGAATAAATCTAACCAGGGATGTAAAAGACTTATACAAAGAAAACTACAAAACACTGCTGCAAGAAACCAAAAGAGATCTACATAAATGGGAAAAACATACCAATGCTCATGGATAGGTAGATCCAACATTGTGAACATGTCAATTCTACCAAAGCAATCTACAAATACAATGCAGTCCCAATCCAAATATGAACAACATTCTTTAAAGAGATGGAAAAACTAATCGTTAACTTTATATGGAAAGGGAAGAGGCCCCGGATAAGTAAAGCACTACTGAAGAAGAATAAAGTAGAAGGACTTGCTCTACCTGACCTTAGAACTTACTATACAGCTATGGTAGTCAAAACAGCCTGTTACTGGTACAACAACAGACACATTGACCAATGGAACTGAATTGAGAACCCAAATATAAATCCATCCATCTATGGACACCTGATCTTCGACAAAGGCCCAAAGTCCAACAGATGGGGAAGAGAGAGTCTTTTTAACAAATAGTGCTGGCAAAACTGGATGTCCATCAGCAAAAAAATGAAACAGGACCCATCCGTCACACCACACACAAAAACTAATTCAAAATGGATCAAAGACCTAAATATAAAACAAAAAACTATAAAGATCATAGAAGAAAAAGTAGGGTCAATGCTAGAGGCCCTAATACTCGGCATTAACAGGATACAAACCATAACTAACAATACACAAATACCAGAACACAGGCTAGATAACTGGGATCTTCTACAAATTAAACACTTATGCCCATCAAAAGACTTCACCAAAAGAGTAAAAAGAGAACCTAAAGACTGGGAAAAATTTTTTGGCTATGACAAATCCGACAAAGTTCTAATCTCTAAAATCAACAGGAAAATCCAACACCTCCACAACAAAAAGACAAATAACTCAATTAAAAAATGAGCAAAGGATATGAACAGACACTTCACCAAAGAAGATATTCAAGTTGCTAACAGATAATCAGGAAATTCTTGAGATCACTAGCTATTAGAGAAATGCAAATCAAAACTACAATGAGATACCATCTCACCCTGACATTACTGGCATGAATCAAAAAACAGAAAATAACAAATGTTGGAGTGGCTGCAGGGAGATTGGACCTCTTATACACTGTTAGTGGGAATGCAAAATGGTACAACCATTTTGGAAAATGATATGGTGCTTCCTTAAAAAGCTATAAATAGAAATACCAAATGATTCAGCAATTCCACTCCTAGGAATATATCCTAGAGAAATAAGAGCCGTCACACAAATAGACATATGCACACCCATGTTCATTACAGCATTGTTCACAATTGCAAAAAGATGGAAACAACCTAGATGCCCATCAACACATAAATGGATAAACTATGGTACATACACAATGGAATACTATGCAACAACAAAGAACAATGATGAATCTGCAAAACATCTCACGACATGGATGCATCTGGAGGGCATTATGCTGAATGAAATAAGTCAAACACAAAAGGACAAATATTGTATGAGACCACTACTATAAAAACTCTTGAAAAGGTTTACACACAAAAAGAAACAATCTTTGATGTTTACGAGGGAGGAGAGAGGTGGGAGGGAAAAACACTACATAGACAAGCGGTAACTTTGGTGAAGGATAAGACAGTACACATTACTGGGGAAGCCAGAACAACTTGTCCAAGGCAAGGTCATGGAAGCTCCGTAGACACATCCAAACTCCCTGAAGGACCAAATTACTGGGCTGAGGGCTGTGGGGACCATGGTCTCGGGCAACACCTAGCTCAATTGGCATAACACAGTTTACAAAGAAAATGTTCTACATTCTACTTTGTTGAGTAGCATCCGGGGTCTTAAAAGCTTGTGAGCAGCCGTCTAATATACTCCACTGGTCTCACCCTGTCTGGAGCAAGGGAGAATGAAGAAAACCAAAGATACAAGGGAAAGGTTAGTCCAAAGGACTAATGGAACACAATCACCACAGCCTCCACCAGACCGAGTCCAGCACAACTAGATGGTGCCTGGCTACCACCACTGACTGCTCTCACAGGGATCACAGTAGAGGGTCCTGGACAGAGCTGGAGAAAAATGTAGAACAAAATTTTAACTCACACACACACAATAAAAAACAAAGACCAAACTTACAGGTCTGACAGAGACTGGAGAAATCCCGAGAATATGGCCCCCGGGCAACCTTATAGGTCAGTAATGAAGTCATTCCTGAGGGTCACCCGTCAGCCAAAGATTAGACAGGCCCATAAAACAAAATGGGACTACATGGGCACACCAGCCCAGGGGCAAGTACAAGAAGGCAGGAGAGGACAAGAAAGCTGGTAATGGGGAACCCAAGGTTGAGAATGGGAGTGTTGACGTGTTGTAGGGTTGGCAACCAATGTCACAAAACAATATGTGTATTAATGGTTTCAGGAGAAACTAGTTTGCTCTGTAAACCTTCATCTAAAGTACAATAAAAAAAAGTTAAAAAAGAAAATGTGCATCAGATAACAGAATTTATCTATTGCATCATCCTTGAAAAACAATCTTTAACTCTTAAATGGAAAGAATCCATATAAAAATATGTAGAAAATCACTAAATACCATTTCTATCCAAAGAATTAGGTTCTATTAATTAACTAAGCTATCTCAAGGACCAACGGCTCATACGTTTAGTTGGCTTTCTAAAAGAAAGAATTATCATCATTTTTATTCTGAAACAGTCAATTGTTCATTGCTATTAAGAAACATGGAAAGAGCCTTACCTCTGGAGGGAACTGCAGGAGGCCTGTCAATAAATTAAGTCTCCCCCTATGGGGCATCCCAATAATAACATCAGTTACTCCACTGTAGGCTGACATTTTCAACAGCTCATGGAAAAAGCCCATCATGCTTTCAGCCCCTTCGCCTCCATATCGCTTCACAGTGGCAAATTTGGTGGCCAAAAAGTGGTCAAACTCCTATAGAACATCACAGCAGACACATTAGTTACAAGAAGATAGCTGACTACTCCAGTGAAAGACAGACATGTTTATGTATGTTGTAAAAAGATACCACACTACTTCAAGTGGCTTGAGCAATGCCCCTTTGCTATATATCCCAGAGATGGACATAGTAATACTGAGCACAGTAGGAAAAGCTTTGCATAGGGCACTAGACAAAAGTGGGGGGTACAAGGAGAGTAACCTAAATGGTAGAATAATTTACTCAAAAAGGAACTCCCTCTGAATGCATTTTCTCCCAGCATAGGAAGGAGATGACCTTAGATTCTGCTGCCTCTCTCAGTACTTCAGTTCTAGTATAGGGCTCTACAGTGTTATTTTATCAAAGTTGCAAACTATACAACTTGGGAGTAGGCTTCTTATCATATAAGAATGCCTGAGTCCTGATCACAGCCCTGACACAGACTGAATTCCATTAATTTTTACTGAAAGCCTCCTCGATGCATAGTCCTTTTGATCACTTGAGGAAATAAAGAGAGAAGTCAGATCTTAAGGATTTTGTAATCTTCTGTAGAAAGAATAGGTGTTTTGACTGAGGAGAACCCATAGCTCAGTTATTTGAGGATCTACTCTTTTCTATCTAGAATAAATTAAAAGGGTATGTGTGTTATATTGTCTGCTGTGTTGAGGGAATGGTGGGGGTAAGTTCAGAGGGTTAATGCCTTAATTCCCTTTCTTCAATATTTATATCTGTGTAGGAAATGAGATGACCTATTCCATAAATATTAGCCTCTACTTTTATACCTGAGATTCTAACATTAGTTTTGACAGATGTTTTCGCTCTTCTGTGGTAAACGTCTCCTTTTTCAGCTCCTCAAATCGCCTGGCAAACCAGTCTTTCTCCTCCTGGCTCTGAAGTTGGGAGGTTTCAATAGAAATTTCTCCACAGTAGATTTGGTTGAGATAGGCTAATACTTCCTCAAGAGAGGCCTCTTCCTTCCCCATGTTCAATAATCCTATAAAATGGAATCAAAGGGATAATTTTAAAGAATAATCAACTGTGTACAGAACAAATTATAGAACACACCAAAATAATAGTTTCAAGTCAGAGAATTTTATTCCTAATAACTTGGGTCATTATCAGTGCTTATCTAGATTTTTTTTAAGGCAAAACTAGAAATATGGCCAAAGGCCATAAAGTAGTAAAACTAGGAAGGGAAAAAAATAATCTTTTTAACAAGAACACAGCCCTATTGTTTTATGCCAAGTTTTAATTCTACAGTAAGTTCAAACTAAAATGAAACCTATATTCATCTGCTTTATAGCTAAAAATCACATATTCTGCCTTTAACTAAAATATTTATCTACCAAAATATTCAAATCTTATGAATATCTACAAATCAATGTCTATCATTGAGCAGTTGATCTTAGTGTGAATTTAAACATAAATTAATATTAATATCAAAGCTACATTTTAAGGTAAGAGGAAATGTACCTGAATCTCAGCCAAACAAAGGGAAGGTTCCTATGATAGTTCATTAGCTCAGCACCAAATCAGCTATCAGTCATCAATTACTTCTCTAATCCCACAACATAGATTTAACAAACCAACATTTACTTTATATTGTTTATGGTTTCTTAAATAAGCTTTAACTCTTTGATATTGATTGACCATTCAATTGTAAAAATTGCTTTGGGTTTCTTGTATTTTCTGTTATTTTTATGAGCTACATGTATCTCAGACACCTCTAAAAAAGAGGGATATAGAGATATGTAGTTATAGATAAACAGTAATTTAGCTATATGTAGTTAAAGATAACTTTGTTCATCCAATAAGCAGGTATGGAGGATCGATGCATGCCAGGAACTCTGTTGGCACTAGAGTGTACAAACATGACTAAGAGATGGTCTTTTCCCTCAAGGAAAATCATAGCCTTACGGGGGAAGAAAGATTTAGAGACATATACCGACAATACAATGTCATATACCAACCAAACCAAACCCGTTGACATGGAGTCGATTCTGACTCATAGCGACTCTGCAGACTGGTGGTTTCTTCCAGTAAGAAGAATGTACTTTGAGTTAAGTAACTTCATGTTTCTGTCATATGCCGAATGGTTTGAGAATATTTTGAAGGTAGTTTTATTCTGATATCAAGCTAAGTGTTTTGTTTGTTTTGGTAAACGTGCTATTGTTGAGGGTTGCCTACAGCACTATGAGAGCATAGATGAGGGAATATTGAACTCTACCTTGGCAAGCTCTGGGTAGCTCTGCTTCACAGAGCAGGATGCTTGTTGAATCTCACCCCTTGAAGAGGATCCCACAAAAGAGATGAAAAAGAAAGTCTGAAAGGCAGAGGAGGGAGGACAGGAAAGAGGAGTGTTATGGGAACCAAGACTATCCAAATTCTTCTCTAAGGCTGTTGAGGGTTATGTGTGTGTGGTCGGCGGGTGGGGAGGAGAGTGGGATGGGCAGGCTGGAGTCCTTAGAAATCAAAGGAGAGTGTTCTCGAATGTAAGCTTGGAGTAGTTCAAAATATCAAATACAAAAGGGCAGCAGGGCAGAAAAGTAATTTCAAAAAAAGAAAAAAATGAGTGTAAGTCTGGTCAGCAAGAGGAGTGAGCATGTTCTCATTTTCTGACAGAAAACACAGTCAAAAAAGTGGAAGAAAGTCACTTTTTCTAGAGCACCAAAGAAGGAAATGGTCAGCAGTTTGTAGTGTTACTAAAAAAAAATCAAATAAGGACTAAAATGTTCTATTGGATTTGGCAGTTAAGTGGACTGGTGAAGTCTGCAAGAGAAATTTCAGTAGAGCAATAGAGGAAAAGGGAGACTGAAGTTGGTATAATAGTAAATTAAAAAGGCATTGCCCTCGAGTTGATTCCGACTCATAGTGATACTATAGGACAGAGTAGAACTGCCCCATGGGGTTTCCAAGGAGCTGCTGGTGGATTCGAACTGCTGACCTTTTGGTTAGCAGCCAAACACTTAACTACTGTGCCATAAATTAGAGGTAAGGAAATAGATATGATTTCCACAGGCTATTCAAGAATTTAGGCTAGAAAAGTAAGAAACATAAGGTGGTAGTTAAAAAGGGAGGGGGAAGATGAAGGAAGGATCTTAAAGATGTAAAAACCTTGATTTTCTTTCTATGCTGAAAAGAAACCCGTAGAGGAGTTGAACATTTGGAAAAAGAGGAAATAATTAATGAACTGAGATCCCAGAGGAGGCAAAGGGAGCAAGATCCATAGGTTGGTAGAAGGATTAGCAAAGGATAAGCTAAGAGATGCTTCTTCCTCAAGGAAGGTGAAAGAGTTGTGGTTGGGTCTAGAACTAGATAACTTTGTAAGTCAGGGAGGAAAAGCAGTTCCTATCAGTGAAGTAGGAGAGTGAGGGTGAGGGCAGAAAGGGCAGGCATCACTTTAAGAGGGCAGAAGGAGTAGGGATATTTTAAGATGAGTCTTAATGGGAGATGACCAAGGATGAATCAAGGGAGAGCTGGGTGGCATTAAGAGAATAGGATTGACTAAAATCATGAACCTGGAGTGGAACCATGGTTGCATGTATCAGTCATGCTTAGTTCACTAGAAGGCCTGAAAAATTCATATCGTTGTACTAATATAGTTGGAAATCTGTAGAACAAATGTAGCAGAAGATAAGGACACAAGAAAGTTGAAGGGTGGTAGTGAACTGGTTGAAATGAGGGGGCTTATATTGGGAAGCAAAGGAGAAAAAGCCAGAAAGGAATTGGTTAACTGGGAAAAAATGCAGAAGCTAAAGAACCAGGGGTCAGACTGAGCTCAAAGCTCAGTGGTAGTGGGCCTGGTAAAGTAAAATAGCTGGAAGGATGGACTGCTTATGGTAAGAGTGTTAAATGTTGGAATTAAGATTTCAGAGGCATAGCAGCTAAAGTGGAATGTAGGTGATAGTCTTGGACTAAAGAAAGCCACAGTGGTAGACTGTGCTGTTAGATGCATTGCTGATGTGGATGTTCAAGTCTCCCATGTAATGGCAGCAGTTGTCATGAAGAGGAAGATTCTGAGTCAGATAGCACAGGGAATGTACTGGAGGTCAGTAGTTGCTGTAATAAGGCAAAAGAAGGTATATCCATATGGCATGAGTTACAAAGCAGGAGGAATTTATCTTAGAAGGTGGAAGGAAGCAGCCATGTAGGGCTTCCTGTATCCTTCCTGCTCCCCTGAGACTTGAAATATATCAGAGAGAGAAAACAGGCAGCTTCTACTTGAGAGCTGCAAAAGAACAGGGAATTTTAAGAAACTTTAACTTTCAGACTGCAGTTAAGACAGAAACATTGCTGGAATGTTGTGTAAATAAGTTGAGAATGGGAGTGTGCAATGGAATGGGGTTCTAAAGGACACAGTAAAGAGTTGGAGGAGATAACAGTGGAAGGAAGATGAAATAAAGGAGAAGAATCATATGAGTAGATCAGCGATATCAGATGACCAAGGACTTGACATTTTGGGCAGTGACTGAGACAACAACATATACACACACAACCTTAATTCCAAATGTCTTCTGGCATTAAGTCAGTATATACACACTTCAAACTTTTCATTCAACTGTCCCTGTCCTCAACACATATGTAATCAACTACTACTCAACATATAACATTTTATAGATCACAGAATATCTTCACATACATTTTAATTTTGGCAGAGTTTTCTTTTTCAAAGATTGAATATTACAAAAATGGCCTCAACTCTATTTCCCATCCTACATGTTCTTCCAGAGCCTTGCCACTCCCCCACCGAGAATGGTGTCTATATCCCCTCCCCTTGAACCTGGGAAGCCTTTGTAACTGCCTTGACTAGTAGAATTTGGCAGAAGTGACACCATGTGACTCTCAAGGCTAGGTCATAAAAAGCCAAATACAGTTTCTGCCTGGCTCTCTCTGTGGAGACACACACCTTTAGAATCCTGAGCTACCATATAAGAAATCTGGCTACTCTGAAGCCACCAAGCTGGAGAAACCATGTGGAGAGACTACACAGGCATAGAGAGAAAAACCCAAGGAGCTGAGTTCCAACCCCCAGCTGTTTGAGTCACAGACCCGAGATATGTGAGTGATCAAATCTTTAGATGACTCTAGCCTGACCATTGTCTGACTACAACCTCATGAGAGACCCCAACTGAGAATGACTTACCTGGGCTCAGTCAATCCCCAGAACCACAAGAGAATAAAGTGTTGTGGTTTTAAAGCCACTAAGTTTTGAGGTAGTTTATAAATAAATAAATTTATAAACAATAACTAGCCAGGATATTGCTAATTGATAAATAACCAGAATTTGACATTTCCAAGATTAACTTTAAGAAATAACATGAGACAAGACCCCAAGATCATGATTGGTGATACAGGACCAACTTTTTTTAAGTTCCCAAGCTAGCAAAAGTACAAAGTTTTGGGGGAGAACATAGGAGGTAGTAGACAGCACAGGCTTTGAAAGTAGTCAGACCTAAGTCAGGGCCAAGATGGCGGAGTAGTCAGATGCTTCCTGTGGTCCCTCTTATAACAAAGACACCCAAAAACAAGTAAATCAATTATATACGACAATCTAGGAGTTCTGAACATCAAAGACAAAGTTGAGGAGTTGGACTGAGCGGCAGGGGGAGGGACAGACTGTTCAGAAGCAGCGAGGATTTGCCAGACCTGACCTGGCCAGCACTCTGCAGGCTGGACAGGCTGGTGCACGCAGGCTGAGGCAAGCAGCAGAACTCAGGACACATTTTCCACATCAGGAGAAACCAAGTGGTGGAGAGTCTGCACAGACCTCTGGAGTCAGGGGGAAGTGGTGCTGGATCTGCAAAAGTTAAGTGCAAGCATCTGACCTACAGCGCAGTATCAAAATAACACTTCCCTCTCTGGGAAGTGCCTCTCTCCCCCTCACCCACACCCTCCCAGCTCTGCTCCAGTCCCAGTCTAGCTTCAGTGATTGCCTAGCCCCCGGCCCAGAAGTAGGACCCATGACAGGTGCCCAAGTCAGTCTCCAGGCTTTGAAGAGGGAAAAAATAAACAAACAGGAAAAAAGAATCTACCAGCTTCCCTAAGCCGGGACCGCAGGGCAGGCACTGCTGCTTTGCCTAGGCATAGGCATCAGGGGTCCACTGACTTCAAATGCCTTTCACCCCTGCCTAGACCTGAGTGGGCCGATTTCAACAGCGTAGGCCCTTATTAGCATAGTACAAGAGGGTATATGCCTGAAGCCTATTTTCAACTGTGCCAGCTAAGGGGCAGTGGCAGATTCATGACATTTGACACTGTCCTGTGCATTAAGCAGGGTCCTCACCTACCCACATCAGGGGTCTGAGGACAGATGGTGCAACCCACTCCACCTAGCCACCCACAACAGGGATCTGAGAATAAGTGGTGCCTCTCAGTCCTTACAGCCAACAGCACTGGGTACCCAAAGTCCAGCTGCAAAACCTACCCACCTATGAACTCTAGGGAACAGGGACATGCCTTCCACCCAGGCACTCAGGGGCAGCCATCAACCCCCTACCTGACTCACTACATAACCCCCTACTGCAGCCAGATACCTGTGCCTCTTCCAATCACCCCTATGTAGCCCTGCCCATCTAGAACTGCAGGTGAGAGCCTGCACCACACACTCGGTGATTGACGAACTGGACAACTGAGCTGAATCCACACAAGAAAGTAAACAGCCTCCTGGGCTCTCATACCTAGTAGCAGCTCTAACCACCTGGTGACAGGATGAGAGAGCTTCAAAGACACCAATAATCAAAGTAGCTCACGTGACAAGCCTATTTGGGCATATCAAAATAAAACCAAGCAAGAAGCTAGGACAAAGTAAGCAAACATAAAATAAATAAACATAATAACTTATTAATGGCTCGGAGACAACAGTTAATACCAAATCACATAAAGAGGCAGATCATGGCAGCTTCAGCAAGCAACCAAAACAAAGAACCAGGAAACCACCAGAGGAAGAGAAGGTCTTGGAATTACTGGAGGTAGAATTCAAAAAATTAATATACAGAGCTCTTCAAGAGATCAGGAAGGAGATTATGCAAACCGCAGACCAAGCCAAGGAACACACAAAGCAACAGAGGAATTTAGGTAGATAATACAAGAGCAAAATGACAAATTTAACAGGTTGCAAGCATCCATAGAGAGACAGCAAATAGAAATCCAAAAGATATAATAATAGAATTTCAGAATTAGACAACTCAATAGAAAGTCATAGGAGCATAATTAAGGCAATGGAAGTCAGAATTAGTAAGACTGAAGATAAAGTACTTGACACCAACTTACTTGAGGAAAAATCAGATAAACGAATTTAAAAAATGAAGAAACACTAAGAATTATGTGGGACTATCAAGAGGAATAACCTACAAGAGATTGGAGTACAAGAACAGAGGGGATAACAGAAAATACAGAGAGAATTGTTGAAGATTTGTTGGCTGAAAACTTCCCTGATATCATGAAAGATCAGAAGACATCTATCCAAGATGCTCATCGAACCCCACACAAGGTAGATCCCAAAAGAAAGTCACCAGGACGTATTATAATCAAACTTGCCAAAACCAGTCAGCACAACTGGACTAAACCAAAAGCTAAGAAGTTTCCTGAACACAACCAAACACTTCGAGGGACAGAGTAGTAGGGGCTGGGTCTGGAACATCTAGGTCAATTGCCATTACAAAGTTTATTAAGAAAATGTTCTGCATCCCACTTTGGTAAGAGGCGTCTGGGGTCTTAAAAGCTTGAGAGTGGCCATCTAAGATGCATCAATTTCTCCCAGCCCACTCGGAGCAAAGGAGAATGAAGACCACCAAAGACACAAGGGAAATATTAGCCCAAGAGACAAAAGGGCCACATAAACCAGAGACTCCATCAGCCTGAGACCAGAAGAACTAGATGGTGTCCAGTTACCACCAGTGACCACCCTGACAGGGAACACAACACAGAGTCCCTGATGGAGCAGGAGAAAAGTGGAGTGCAGAACACAAATTCATATAAAAAGACCAGACTTAATGGTCTGACTGAGACTGGAGGAACCCTCAAAGCCATGCCCCCCAGACACTCTGTTAACCCAGATCTGAAACCATTCCTGAAGCCCACTCTTCAGACAAAGATTAGGCTGGACTATAAAACATAAAATAATTCTTGGGAAGAGTGTGCTTTTTAGTTCAAGCAAACACACGAGACCAAATGGGCAGCTCCTGTCTGGAGGCAGGATGAGAAAGCAGAAAGGGACAAGAGTTGGTTGGATGGACACGGGAAACTTGGGGTGGAAAGGAGGGAGTGTTCTGTCACATTATAGGGATTGCAACTAGTGTCACATAACAATATGTGTATAAATTTTTGTATGAGGAATTAACTTGAGGTATAAACTTTCACCTAAAGCACAATTAAAAAAAAAGAAAGTAGTCAGACCTGGGTTGTTATCGTCCCACCTCTGCCACTTTCTAGCTACAAGTTACTTAAATTCTCAGCATCTCCATAAAGACAGTAGTAACTACTTTTGGGGGTGATGGTGAGAATGTATTGACATACATAAAGTGTCTGGCATGTGTTGTTGTTATTGTTGGGTGCCATAGAGTCAATTTCGACTCAGCAACACCATGTGACAGAGTAGAACTGCCCCATAGGGTTTTCTAGGCTGTTATCGTTATAGGAGCAGATTTCCAGGTCTTTCTCCCATGGAGCTACTGTGTGGGTTCGAACTGTCAACCTTTTGGTTAGCAGCCGAGCGCTTAACCATTGTACCACCAGGGCTCCCCTGGCACATATGGAAGCTCAATAAGTTTTGAACACAAGAAACAAGCCGTCTCAGAAGACCACTCTAGAGCCTCAAGACTCCTCCTCCCTGACAGCACTTGAAACATGCTCCTCTTTGTCTCCTCAGACCCCATGAAAGCCTCGGCTCCAGTGGGCACACAGCTTCTTCAAGAACAGAGAATAGAGTTTGTTATGGATTGAACTGTGTCTCCCAAACAGGTATGTTGAAGTTCTAACCCCTGGTACCTGTGAGCATGACTTTTTGGAAATATGGTCTTTAAAGACGCTATCAATTAAGTTAACATGAGGTCATACTGGAGCAGGGCACAGACACAGGGGGAAGGAGGCCATACCACTATGGAGGCAGAGATTAGAATTATGTTGCAGCTACAAACCAGAGAATACCTGGGGCTACCAGAAGCTGAGAGAAACAAGGAAGTATCTTCCCCTAGAGGCTCAGAGAGAGTATGGCCCTGCTGGCACCCTGAATTCTAACTTCTCTTCTCCAGAACTGTGAGAGAATAAATTTTTGTCATTTTTAAGCAACGCACTTTGTGGTGCTTTGTTATGACAGCCCAAAGATAGTAATACAGAAACCCAGCTCATGTTGGCAGTTCTCTACTCCCACCACGGCTGTTAACGAGCTTTACCTGTGGTATTAAAGGGTCCTTGAAGGGTCTGCACAAGATTTTGGATTTCAGACACGTTCTCCAGCAGGGCTTGTCCAGTAAAGAGGGGGTTGATTTTCGCAGCTTTATGACCATGTTCACGATATACTGTCACCAATCTGGCAAGGCTGTGATCAACTAACTCAGGGGAAAACAAAACAATACAAACAGTTTAGGAAATGCCCACAAGCGCAAAATCAGCTTTTAAAAGAAGCCTTTGTGGCTTTAGACATTTTTTACTCATTGCTCCTACCCACCACATCTGCCATTGGTTTTCAGGTTTAAAGACTATCAGAATCTGGGTAAACACATATATTTTCCTGAAATTTATCTCATGATAGCTGAAGCCACTGGAGAAAAAAAGAAAACAGACCTGAGTGCACATTTGTAAAAAAAAAAAAGCTATGTAGATAAACATTAGAAGGAAATACCCCAAATTGAAAATAACTGCTAAAATGCTGAGATGATGGATAACTATACTTTTTCCTGAAATATTTTCATATGTTATACCTTGTATCTTACATAAAAAATAAAAATTTGCAGGTAGAACTACAAAATCAATTTTTCATTTCCTCCCTTACGTCTTAAAGACCACAGGTACATAGTTATTTTATAACTCATAAAATCTTAGACTAGGAAAAGATTTTAGAGATTATCTTGTCACTCATATAATGCAAAAAAAAAAAAAAAATCCCCTTTATAAAGCCTAGATGGGTAACTGCCTGGCCTCCACTTAAATGGAAGTCATTATCTTTCAATAAACCCAATCCTATCTTAGACTATTTCATTGTTGTGATTGCTGTTAGGTGCTGTTGAGTCGGTTCCAACTCACAGCAACCCTATGTACAACAGAATGAAACACTGACTCATCCTGTGCCATCCTCACAATCATTGTTATGCCTGAGCCCACTGTTGCAGCCACTGTGTCAATCCATCTTTTTGAGGGTCTTCCTCTTTTTCGCAGACCCTCTACTTTACCAAGCATAATGTCCTTCTCCAGAGACTGGTCCCTCCTGATAACATGTCCCAAGTATGTGACATGAAGTCTTGCCATCCTTGCTTCTAATGAACGATCTGGTTGTACTTCTTCCGAGACAGATTTGTTCGTTCTTTTGGCAGTCCACAATATATTCAATATTCTTCACCAACACCATAATTAAAATGCATCAGTTCTTCTTGGTCTTCCTTATTCATTGCCCAGCTTTCACATGCTTCTAAGGCAATTGAAAACACTTTGGCTTGGGTCAGGTGTATCTTAGTCCTTAAAGTGACATCTTTGCTTTTTAACACTTTAAAGAGGTCTTTTGCGGCAGATTTGCCCAAGGCAATGCGTCATCTGATTTCTTGACTGCTGCTTCCATGGCTGTTGATTGCGGATCCAAGTAAAATGAAATCATTGACAACTTTAATATTTTCTCCGTTTATCATGATGTTGCTTATTGGTCCAGTTGTGAGGATTTTTGTTTTCTTCATGTTGAGGTGTAATCCATACTGAAGGCTGTGGTCTTTGATCTTCATCTGTAAGTACTTCAAGTCCTCTTCAATTTCTGCAAGTAAGGTTGTGTCATCTGCATAATGCAGGTTGTTAATGAGTATTCCTCCAATCTGGATATCCCGTTCTTCTTCATATAGTCCAGCTTCTTGGATTATCTGCTCAGCATAAAGATTGAATAAGTATGGTGAAAGCTTACAACCCTGACACACATCTTTCTTGATTTTAAACCCTGCAGTATTCCTTTGTTCTGTTCAAACAACTGCCTCTTGGTCTAAGTATGGTTCCTATGAGCACAATTAAGTGTTCTGGAATTCCCATTCTTCAAAATGTTATCCATAATTTGTTATTATCCACACAGTCTAATGCCTTTGCATAGTCAACAAAACACAAGTCAACATCCTTCTGGTATTCTCTGCTTTCAGCCATGATCCATTTGACAATGATATCCCTGGTTCCATGTCCTCTTCTGAACCTGGCTTGAATTTCTGGCAGTTCCTGTCGATGTACTGCTACAAGCGCTTTTGAATGATCTTCAGCAAAATTTTACTTGTGTGTGATATTAATGATATTGTTCAATAATTTCCGTATTTTGTTGGATCACCTTTCTTTGTAATGGGTACAAACATGGATCTCTTCCAGTCAGTTCGCCAGGTAGCTGTCTTCCAAATTTCTTGGCATAGACTAGTGAGCGCTTCCAGCACTGCATCCATTCGTTGAAACATCTCAGTTGGTATTCCATCAATTCCTAGAGCCTTGATTTTTGCCAATGCTTTCAGTGCAGCTTGGACTTCTTCCTTTAGTACCATTGGCTCTTGATCATATGCTACCTCCCAAAATTGTTGAACATCGACCAATTCATTTTGGTACAGTGACTGTATATTCCTTCCATCTTCTTTTGATGTTTCCTGTGTTGTTTAATATATTCCCCTTAGAATCCTTCACTACTGCAACTCGAGGCTTGAAGTTTTTCTTCAGTTCTTCCAGCTTGAGAAATGCTGAGTGTGTTCTTCCCTTTTGCTTTTCTATCTCCAGGTGTTTGCACAATTTCATTATAATACTATACTTTGTCTTCTCAAGCTACCCTTTGAAATCTTCTGTTCAGCTCTTTTACTTCATCATTTCTTTCTTTCGCTTTAGCTATTCAACGTTCAAGAGCAAGTTTCAGAGTCTCTACTGACATCCATTTTGGTATTTTCTTTCTGTCTTTTTAATCACCTCTTGATTTTTTCATGTATGGTGTCCTTGATGTCATTCCACAACTCATCTGTTCTTTGGTCATTAGTGTTCAATGCATCAAACCTATTCTTGAGGTGGTCTCTAAATTCAGGTGGGATATACTCAAGCTTGTACTTTGGCTCTCATGGACTTGTTCTATTTTTCTTCAACTTCAACTTGAACTTGTATATGAGCAATTAATGGTCTGTTCCACAATCGGCCCCGACCTTGTTCTTACTGATGATACTGAGCTTCTCCATAGTCTCTTTCCACAGATGTAGTAGGTTTGATTCCTGTGTATTCCATCTGGTGAGGTCCACATGTATAGCTGCCATTTATGTTGTTAAAAAAAGGTATCTGCAATGAAGTTATTGGTCTTGCAAAATTCTATCATGCGATCTCTGGCATCATTTCTATCACCAAGGCCATATTTTCCAACTACTGATCCTTCTTCTTTGTTTCCAACTTTTGCATTCCAATCACCAGTAACTGTCAATGCATCCTGATTGCATGTTTGTTCAATTTCAGATTGCGGAAGTTGATAAAAATCTTCAATTTCTTCATCTTTGGCCTTAGTGGTTGGTGCGTAAATTTGAATAACAGTCGTATCAACTGATCTTCCTTGTAAATGTATGGATATTACCCTATCACTGACAGCACTGTACTTCAGGATAGTTCTTGAAATGTTCTTTTTAACAATGAGTGCGATGCCATTCCTCTTCAATTTGTCATGATTGTGTGATTCGAAATAGCCAATACCAGTCCATTTCAGCTTACTAATGCCTAGGATATTGACGTTTATGCATTCCATTTCATTTCTGATGACTTCCAATTTTCCAAGATTCATACTTCATACTTTCCACATTCCGATTATTAATGGATGTTTACAGCTGTTTATTGTATTTTGAGTTGTGCGAAATAAGCAAATGAAGGCCCTGAAAACTTGACTCCAACCACATCAATTAAGGTAGACTCTACTTTGAGGCGGCAGCTCTTCCTCAGTCTTATTTTGAGTGTCTTCCAACCTGAGGGCTCATCTTCTGGCACTGTATCAGACAGTGTTCTGCTGCTATTCATAAGGTTTCCATTGGCCAATTTTTTCAGAAGTAGACTGCCACTTCCTTCTTCCTAGTCTGTCTTAGTCTAGAAGCTCTGTTCAAATCTATTCACAAGGGTGACCCTGCTGGTATTTGAAATGCCAGTGGCATAGCTTCCAGTATCACAGCAACATGCAAGCCACCACAGTATGACAAACTGACAGACATATGGTGGTATTCTGAATCTTATTTAAGTTTTCAGTCCCTGTTCTATAACGTAGAAAACTTTCTGTACTAGGTTGAATTTGTTGTTGTTGTTGCATGTCAATGAACTGTTTTCAACTCATAGTGACCCCATGTGACAGAGCAGAACTGCTCCATAGGGTTTTCTTGGCTGTAACCTTACAGAAACAGATTGCCAGGTCTTTCTCCAGCAGAGGTACTGAGTGGGTTCAAACCACCAACCTTTCAGTTAGCAGCTGAGCAAATAACCATTTACACCACCAGGGTTCCTCTGGGTTGAAGAGTATTGCCCCAAAATTTGTGTCCAACTCAGAACCTCAGAATGTGATCTTATTTGGGAATAGTGTCTTTGCAGATCTAACTAGTTAAGTGAAGATGAGGTCATGCAGGATTAGGGTGTGCCCTAAGTCCAATGACTGGTGTCCTTCTAAAAGGCCATGTGAAGACACACAGAGACACAGAAGGAAGAAGGCCATGTGAACACAGAAGAGAGATATAGCCACAAACCAAGGAATGCCAAGGATTGCTGGTAACTACCAGAAGCTAGGAAGAGACAAGGAAAGGTCCTCTCCTACATCTCCTACAGCCTTCAGAGAAAGCATAGCCCTAATGACACCATAATTTTGGACTTGCAGCCTCCAAAACTATGAGATAATAAATTTCCATTGTTTTAGGCCACCAAGTTTGTAGTAATGGTAGCCCTAGGAAACTAATATATCATCATATTTATGGCTAAAATCTAGATAGACTATATCTAAGGCATTGCCTTTATTGACTACTCTCTGCTTAAAAAAAAAAAAAAATGCTTGCCTAAGTTCTATGGCATCGCAAGCTCCTGATTTTCCTGCTACCTCACTGGTTACTCAGCTGCAGCCACTTCTGGGGGCTCCTCTTCTTTGTCCATCTCTAAAATATTGGTGTTCCTTGGGTCTGTCCAGGGCCTTCTCAATCTATTTCCTCTCTGGGTGGTCTCCTCCACTTTCCACGGCTTCCATTGTCATCTACACAACTACATGTTTAGGGTAATAAGTACAATAATAAATATACAGGGTTATTACCGTCCTCATAGGAATCTAGTGCCCCTACTGAAAACATGTTCTTAACGAACCCACGTCAGCTCTGAAAGATCACTGCTTCTACTTCTAACT